TCCTGGATTTGAACCTTTTGCTTCTCGATCCAGAGTGATACCTCTTTAAGAGAAAAAAATATTTATTTTATCGTCAAACTGAAACATCTGACAATTACTTAATCGTAAATATTTTAAAAGATAGAATGCCATAGCAAAAAAACCCAAAAAACAAAACAAAAAAAGACAAAAAACAAAAAAAAAAACAAAAAAAGACAAAAAACCAAAAAAAAAAGACAAAAAAAAACAAGAAAAAAGCCAAAAAAACAAAAAAAAAAGCCAAAAAAAAAACCAAAAAAAAAGACAAAAAAAACCAAAAAAAAAAACCATAAAAAACTAAGGTGAATTTTTAAAATAATAAATTCACGTGAATTATTTCCTTTCTGCCTCCATATTAACTTTTAAAAATTAATACGAAACAAATGAACTTGAATTTCTTTTGTTCATACAAGAAATATCAAATCAATTTTCAAACATTGTAAATAGTGGAAAAGACTAAATTCAAAGTTTTCGACGATTACGTTATCGGCTTACAAATGACTTTTTGTTGTCCATGCTCCAGATTAAACAAATAACCATGACATAAAAATATTTAAATATAACAGCAAAGACACAATTATATAAAATAGAATGAGAAAAGAGAATACAGCATTTAAAGTAACGATGCACCTCTGTCTTGTTTTCTGAAGCGTAATCTTAAGAATGCACAATGGAGTAATGGATAGTGGCTTCGATTGCGGACGCGTAGAGCCGAGTTCGAATTCCAGACAAATCCATTAAATTACCTTTGAGAAAAGTATGAATCCTCTTCTTCTCCCTTCCCATTTTATGGGTAAATAGCAGATCAGAATGGGTTCTATAGCCTTGGATGGCAACTGGCCTACCGCAGAAATAGCAAACTACTGCGGGAAAAAATCTACCTCGTCAGTCGTGTATCGAAAGATACATGAACGTCTAAGCGTGTATCACGGTTGGCACATAACTGACTGAGTGTCGCAACCGTATTGCCCGGGACAGACCGGGTTCTATAGCCTTGGATGGCAACTGGTCTACAGCATAGTTGCTGTATAAATCACATGTGGGAATTAGCTAGCCGCCCTAGGAGTGGCTGTGCCTTTTTTATGTTTCATTGAATAATACAGATATATTGTGTCTACTTATTTTTATATCGATCTTTTCTAGTCTAACCAGTTTCTTGATGTTATTTTTTTTTAACCCAGATTTTATCGCAGCTACAATAAGTTTGTTTTTGTAATTTACCCCTGATGATGATCTTAGAAAAGATCGAAACTACTTGGTTTAAAAAAAAAAGAAAAAAAAAGAAAAGAAACTACGGCGCCTTCCTTAATGAATTTCATCTTAACATCAAGAAACTGATTAGACAACCGGAAAGGATCAATATAAAACTAAGTAGGTACAATATACCTATAGTATTTAATGAAACATTTTTGAATGAAGATATGGTGCCTAAATGCGCGCGCACACACACACACACACACACACACACACACACACACACACATATATATATGTGTGTATGTGTGTGTGTTACCTATATTATTTAATGAAACATGTTTGAATGAAGATATGCACACACACACACACACACACACACACACACACACACACACATATATATATATATATGTGTGCGTGCATTTAGGCACCATATCTTCATTCAAAATGTTTCATTAAATAATATAAATAAATACACACACACACACACACACATATATATATATATATATATATATATATATATATATATATATATATATATATGTACATATATGTGTGTGTGTGTGTGTGTGTGTGTGTGCGTGTGTGTGTGTAAAACTTAAGATATACCTAAAGCATATATCTGGAAAAAGACAAAAGAAAAAAATTATCTTTGCCGACATGCTTCGTCCTCCAATGTACTTTATTGAGGCAAATAAAAACTTTTAAAAATGAAAAGGCAACAGTTAAATTCAAAACCTTCTATTGTTATAAATAAGTTAATATTATTTTTTTCTCAAAATGAACAAAAATGAATAATAATTACATTAAAAAATTAAACTTTCGTTTATAAGGTATTAAATTGCATCTTTTACCATCCTCCGTAGTTTACCTTGAATATTTAAATGCAAGGCACAAGAGCCACTCAAGGAAGTGGGTTAGTAAATGAAGTTGTTATAATGACGTAAGTTGAGGAAGTAAGAAGTGAATATTGTGAGATGCCTAACAAATGACCCTAGACTTGAAGAGGTTAAAATGATAGCAATCGGGTAAGCATTCTTTCGAGAGTCTGTTCCGCAAAGGAACAGTTCCTGAGAAGAAACTGTCTGGGAGGAAATGCCTCTTAAGTTTGAGGAAGCGAGGTCACGAAACAACACCACCTATAATTGGTATATGTAAAAAAAAAACTAATTGGATTAATTGCCGAAAAGCATAGCAATAACCGTAGACTTCATTATGGCATCGAAAGGCCCCAACCGGAAATTACGTCACGGTCCGCATCCCATTCACAAAATGACAATTATTATGCACCTGCTGATGTGATAATTTCCTTAGGACTTCGACGGACTTACGCACTTATCTTATAAGGCGCATTACGGGCGTCCGGCGACGGCAAACGAAGGCCGGCCAACAACTTCGACTGACTTACGCACTTACTTTCTAAGGCGCATTACGGGCGTCCGGCGACCGCGAACGAAGGCCTTCGACGAACTTACGCATTTAACAATTCGACTGACTTACGCACTTACTTTCCAAGGCGCATTACGGGCGTCCGGCGACGGCAAACGTAGGCCTTCGACGAACTTACGCATTTAACAATTCGACGGACTTACGCACTTACCTTCTAAGGCGCATTACGGGCGTCCGGCGACGGCAAGCGAAGGCCGGCCAACAACTTCGACGGACTTACGCACTTACCTTCTAAGGCGCATTACGGACCTGAGAAAAGCATTCAGCATCATCATCCTTGAGGAAGAAATAAACAATCTAGGATCGGGAAGAAATTACAGGCACACACCACCTGAAGTGAGACAATGACATTTACCCAGGAATCAAAGCAGATCTTCTTGAGTAAAAAAAAAAAAATCATGCTCTAAATAGGGGAGAGGGGAGGGCACCCCCCCCCAAAAAAAAACAAACTCGGTTGTGAGCTTTAAAGTACTCAATGAGAAAAAGGGGTGGTTAAAAAGGCCATTATAATAGCCTTTCATTTTTATCACATAACTTATAAATATATACCTGGAAAGCTTCCAGTTTTTCATTTTCCATTTTATGTTCTTTTTTTTTTTGTTTTTGTTGTGATTCCAGTTTACTTTAAAACTTCCATTGAAATTTTCCCTATTTAGGTCAGTGATTATTTCCTGAAATTTATCCGATGATTCTGATATTCTTAAAATGTCGCCAGTAAATCATAAATGCTTTAAATATTAGCCATTTCTTTACTTCCTTTTCTTCCTACTTAATTTAAAAAAAAAACCCAAAGTTTCATGGCTTGCTGTAAATAGTTTCAGTAAAACTGTATCTCACCCCAGCAATCTTTATTTTATGTGTCATTGTGTCGATCATGACGCACACACACACTATCTATCTATCTATCTATCTATCTATCTATCTATCTATCTATCTATCAAATATGATCATATCTATCCATCACAATCTATCTATCTATCTATCTATCTATCTATCTATCTATCTATCTATCTATCTATCTACAGTGAAACTGTATCTCACCCCAGCAATCTTTATTTTATGTGTCATTGTGTCGATCATGACGCACACACACACTATCTATCTATCTATCTATCTATCTATCTATCTATCTATCTATCTATCTATTATCATATCTATCTATCTATCTATCTATCTATCTATCTATCTATCTATCTATCTATCTATCTACTTTCATATCTCTCTCTCTCTCTCTCTCTATATATATATATATACAGAGAGAGAGAGAGAGAGAGTTAGTGAGAAAGAGGAAGCGAACAGACAGAAGCAAGTAATTAGACAGATTAGAGAGGTCGATATTTCATTAAGCGGGTATGACAGATAGGAACAGAAGAATATGAAGTGAAGAAAAATTTCAAGCGATGAAAACAGAAGAAAGCGAATAGCATTTATTGATACATTAGGTTCCCTGTGCGCATGCGTCTTTGTGACGGCATCTATTCCTCTTGCTTTAAGACTCGGGAACCTTTCGGTCGCTTCGATAAAACAGAGGACATGACAGAGTAAAGGGAAAATCGTCAGTCTCTCTCTATAAACCTTTTTTTTTCACTTTCTTTCTTCCTTATTTCTACTTCTTTTCTTTTTTTTTTTTTATTAGTTCGTCTCTATTTCTTCTATCTTGTATTTCTACTTCTTCCTCCTATTTTTTTTCTTTTTCGCTTTGTTTTCTTGCCTTTTCTATTTTGATTTTCATCTTCATCTTTCTTATAATAGTTGACTTCTCTCTTAACTTCTTCCTCTCCTTTAACTTCTTCCTCTTTTAACTTCTTCTTCTTTGCTTTGTTTGTCATCTTCTCTTTTTTTACTTGTTTCGTCATTCCAGTTGAAATATGAAATGAAACTTCATTGTAACTAAGAGCCTTTTAAGATTTCAAGCCATTACTTAAGTTATAAAATATTTAAGTTCAATTTAGAAGCATCTCGTAATTTTATTGATTAAAAAAGGAAAGAAAAAGAAAAAAAAATGGTTTCGCACTAGCGTCAACCACACAAACAAATGTTGAAGCGCGGAGTCTTCATATTAAGTAGAAGGCGTTTTAACGCGAAGGAAGGAAGGAAGGAAGGGAAATGGTGGATATGGGAAGAAAGGAGGGATAAAAAAAATGATAACGAGGGAGGGCGAGAGTGAAAGGACAAATCGAATTTAGAAAACTCTTTAAAATGAAAAATTATAATAATTCATATCGATAGGTAAACAAATAAAAACTCTATATTATGAACATTTTATAGAAAATGCGATATTTTTTAAAGAAATATTTACACACACACACAAAAAAAAAGAAAAAGAAGGCAAGTTATAGTCGTAATAATGAAAGAGGACTTGTGATAGAGAAAGAAAGAAAGAAAGAAAGAAAGAAAGGTGAAACGAAGAAGAAAGAATTTTTAAAAAATTCATAGAAAAGAGCAAAAATGCTTCTCAAGTATTTGGATTCGCGGAAAGGAAGATAGTTTGTATTTTTTAAAAAACTGTAATTGACACAAAATATGGATGTTGTCATGGTGACAAATTTTGTAGAGCAAATGAGGGTAGGTGAAAGAAGATAGGAGAGGTTTTACAAAAGAAGATGAAAAAGGCCGCGTAGAATAATAATAATAATAATAATAATAATAATAATAATAATAATAATATTCTATAAATTAAGAATCTTCAAAATGCAGCAAATAATATTGTTTATTTTCCTTGTTAATTTTGGTCTAGATTGTACTTATTTTTCATGCAACTCGTTTTTGGACAATTCTTGTGAAGTTTCTCCATGTTGTTCCTCTGACATTTTTTTCTTTTATTTAAACGTTCACTGCTATAAAAAAAATTTACAAAAATTAGGGAGGAAAAAAAATGAGATGCGAAAATAAGACATAATGGAGGACGGTTAAAAACAAAAAAAATGCGAAAATAAAAAATATAGATTTAAATAAACAAATGATGTTTTTGTCGATAAATGAGGTTGACAGGAGTATAAATATGTTAACAGGGTAAATTAAAAAGGCAATGAAAAAGAAAGAGAGAGTGAGAGAGAGAGATAGAGAGAGAGAGAGAGAGGAACGTTGTGGAAGGAAAATCAAAAGACAATGAACGTATTTGGAGAAAGAGAGGGAGAGAGAAGAGGGAGAGGAAGAGAAAAGAAAAAGGAAAGAAAAGAAAGCAATGAGAAAAGAATGACAAGAGAGAAGAGAGAGAGAGAGAGAGAGAGAGAGAGAGAGAGAGAAAAGAATGATAATAGAGAGGAGAAAAAGAGAAAAGGAAGAAACGGTGAAAATAGAGAAAGAAGTAAAAATCGGAAAAGAGAAAAACATAAAAGAGGGTAGAAAGAGAAAGAGATGAAAAAAAAAATACAGAATGAAAAAAAAAAAAACAAAACAAAAATCAACGCCAAAAACAAAGTACGAAACAAGGAAAGAAATAAAGAAAGAAAATCTGAAATAAATTAAGGACAAAAATGGCAAAAATTCGCAGAAAATTTCAAGAATATAACGATTGTGGTCGAAAAAAAAAGATAAAGCGAAGAATGAAAGGAAAAGAAAGAAAGAAAGAAAGAGAGAAAGAAAGAAAGAAAGAAAGAAAGAGAGAAAGAAAGAGAGAAAGAAAGAGAGAAAGAAAGAAAGAAAGAAAGAAAGAAAGAAACTGAGACAGAATCAGATGGAGAGAAAAGAAGAGAAAATAACTACATTGGAAGAGAGAAAGAAGTAGACATTGGGCATGATAAAGAAAGAAAAAAAAATGGTTTACAAGAAGAAGAGGAGGAGGAGAAGGACAGAGGAAAGGGCAGAGAGAAAAAGTTGACAGAATGAGAGAGAAAGACAAGGAGAGTAACCAAATGTATTGGAAGAGAGAAAGGAATACACATTGGGCGTCGTCAAGGGAGGAACACATGGCTTACAAGAGAAGAAGAAAAAGAAGAACAACAAAAGGAGGAGGATAGAGAAAAGGCCAGAGAGAAAAAAAGTGACAGGGTGAGGCAGAGTGAAAAAAGAGGGAGATAAACTAGAGAGAAAAGGAGAGCAACCAAATATATTGAGAGAGTGAAAGTAGTATATATTGGGCGTCATAAAAGAAGGAAAAGCATGATCTCAAAAAGAAGAGGGGCTGGAGGAGGAGTGAGAGGGAGAGTTGGATAGAGAAAGTAAGACAGAATCTAAAATACCTTTTTGAATAGAAGTAGAAAAGAATAGTAGATAGAAAAAGAATGAATGAAATAAGGAGAAATAGAGATAATCAGAAAGATAGATAGATAGATAGATAGATAGATAGAAAGATAGAGAGAGAGAGAGAGAGAGAGAGAAGAGGCACAGAGAAATAAAGAGACAATAAATATAGATAATAGAGAGGAAAAAGGAATATGAATAGAAAATAACTGCATACACACAGACACACACACGTGTTCTGAAAACGTACTACGGACGATACAACCAACAGGTGATCATTTTGATCAATTCCTTCGAGGCTTACGACCATATCACAATGAAACACCGGTTCTCGTCCGATCACTGGTCAAGCAACGTCGAGGTTGGTCAGTAACTAGATGGGTGTCCGCTTGGGAATACCAATTGCTGTTAGCTTGGATGTGTGGGTGGTGTAATGGATGACAGCCCAGACATACCATTAGCAAAGGCATGAATCTAACAATTCTCTCCAGCTATGTGCTAAATAGTAACATCATTATTATATCTTAAAAAAAAAATAATTCAAAAGTATTTTCTAGGCTTAAATAATATAAAAGGATCGACAAGCCGCAAAAAAAACAAAACAAAAAACAAAACAAACAAAAAGAACAAATCAATCATTCAATCAATTATTTCCCTCGAGAAATTGGCAAAATGTAAAAAGGAAAAACATTTAAAACATGATAATAATTTATTTTATAATTTATTTAAACGGGTAAATCTTTCATACACGTCTCATCAGACTGAAATTACAAATGGTTTAAATTTACAAAATGTTTAAAATTTAAATTTATCGAGAATATTAAAAAATCGAGATAACAGGAAGTCTAGTCGCTTGACCAAGAAAATCTACTTGAATTATCCTTTCCACTTACGGATTGATATCTATCTATCTATCTATCTATCTATCTATCTATCTATCTATCTATCTATCATGTGATAAAAAGATAGTTTAAGCCATGTTATATTCATCGGTAAAAGTGCTCAATATCAGGGATAGAGCGTATGTAAATGCTTGAAGATTACGTTCAAGCATGAAACAAGCTATTGCCGCTTGGTATTGAGTTCAGTGTACATTATTATGTATGTAAGCATATATATATATATATATATATATATATATATATATATATATATATTTGTGTGTGTACGTATAAACACAATAATATAAAGAGAGTCGGGAGAAGCTTAGGCTGTTTCATTTAAGAGAAAAGAGGTTGTACATGGCCACGAAGAGACTTTTAATCTCTCAAGCCTGGTAAGCGATGACCGAACAGCAACTCCACCTAGATATGGAAGCTACAATCTATCTATCTTGCTAGCTAGCTACTTATCTTTATGTATTAGTCTGTTCATATCTATCTATCTATCTATCTATCTATCTATCTATCTATCTATCTATCTATCGTGATATCTTCTAGAGCTAGAACTGATAAATAACGTGGAATGCATACAAGGTGAAAGAGCTTGAAAAAATTACCTGTTTACTTACATCGAACAATGTGCAGGTGTATGTAGAATTCATGAAATAGCAGTTATTTTACACAACAAATATTTATTTTGCGATAATCGTTTTTTTCTTGCAGTGAAGAAATTCATCCGAATATTTCATAGAAAATTTCAAAATGGAATAAGAAATCGCTGAGCCGAATTCCGGTGGAGATGGTTAAATTTATTTGGATGCAAATAATCTTCGGAAAGGTAAGAATCCATCTTCGGGTTCTTCCAAAAAGATTCGTTGCTCCTGCACAAAACCTTCACCGCTATAATGAACTCATATCTGCGAATAGAATCTAGTTGTCCAATTCTAAGGACTGAGCTAGAAAACTCTGGTCCACAACAAACGACAAAAGAGTGAGGTTTTCACACACACACACACACACACACACACACACACACACACACACACACATATATATATATATATATATATATATATATATTCATTCATGAACGTTCTCAAATTTAAAAGTCTTGATAAACCAATGACATCCTTGTCTTTGTATATAAACCCGTGCAACATAATAAATCCTTAATTTGCCTTGCTAAAATCCTTCAGAGGAGGGAATTTGTAGCTAAGATAATTTTTTTCTGGAGCCTTTTTATTCATTTTGTTCCTTTACAGATACGCTCTCTCTGAAAATAATTTACACACATAAACACACAAACACACGCACACACATATATATAATTTATATATATATATTATTTTATATGCGCAACAATTAGTGGAAAGTGGTCAATATCAGTAATAGAGCTAACATATTCATTTGTATGGATATGAGTTTGTGAACCTGAGTGTGCTTGCAAAATTACCAGTACACATATATTTGATTCATTGGTCATTTGCAATGGACTTGAAATTTACGGAAATTTTAATGCATCGTTTCCTTTTCGCTTATGATATTTGGTGTCTGAATATATATATATATATATATATATATATATATATATCCATCAAGACATTCATTTCTGTAGTTCACTGCTACCAGCAAGCAATTATTTTTCTCCTGATGATGGCCATGTTGGCCGAAACTAGTCGAGGAATCTAAATGAAAGAATAATAAAAACGAATGAATATTAATATACAAACCAGTGAGTCCGAAGATTGTAATTTTTAATACTTTTTATTGTTCAATATATATATATATATATATATATATATATATATATATATATATATATATATATATATATATATATATATGTGTGTGTGTATGTATGTATGTATTATACATAGATAGATAGATAGATATATATAGAGAGAGCTGGGAGAGAGAGAGAGAGAGAGAGAGAAAGAGAGGTAAGTGAGGAAATGAGTGAGTGTGTATAAACTGATAGGGAAACAAGATTAATAGTAAATTTTGGAAAAGAAAATAATAGCTGATGGCTAAAACAATTCTTGCATTTAAATTGTGATAATTAGAAAAAAAATATTCGGGTAGGTACACGCACACACACACACACACACACACAACAGCGCGCCTATATGTGTGTGTCTTTGGATTCGTGTCCAGGCTTGAACCTGTGTGCGGAATTGTTATAAATAGAGACATGCTTCGTTCAGAATTTTAAAAAAAAAGGAGAAATATCAAGAATTATTGAAAAGTAGATGATGAAATAAAAAGCTGTAAAGTGAAAAGAAGATGAAGATGAAGGGGTCAGATGTGAGGCTGAAAATGTGGACGCGTGTGTGTGTATTTTGTGGGGGGTGATATTTTGAAACTAAATGGAAGGGTGAGAGAAAACAAGGGCAGATACAAAACGAGAAATAGCGGAATAGACATTTGCATGAACTAAAATTTTGAAATTAGACGGGGAAAAACTTTTAGTGTGGAATGAAGCAGATATCCATGAAAAATATTTCACGTGAATAATGGATCAGTTTGCCCAAAGAAAAAACAAAAAAACCTGAAACGACAACAGCAACAGAAATAGAATAATTGTATTTAATTTCCCATAAAAAAGAGCTCCATATGCAAAAGATAATCTTACCAACAAAATTAAAATGCAAAAACGCTGCTTACGTTGCTTTGTTGCATATTCAATGGCGTAAAAACTGCAGTCGTCTTCTTTGTATTATAAAAAAGTATGAGTGAAAGAACGAAGAAAAAATGATTTCAACTTAAAACAAGTCCAATATAGTCGCTGAAGGTGAGGCATTTATGGAATATTTAGAGGCAGGTACATTTAACCAGAACAAATTCAATATGGCGTCAAGTGTACCGACGGAATAAATATTCGTTATTATCTCAGCGAAAACAAACACTTTTTGATTGTTGATAGCAACACCGGCGAAATATTTCACAATCAATAGACTTTTCGAGACAAGGGACACTTAATTTTTGTTTAGAACCAGAGGCGGATGTTGACGCATAATATAAAATAATAACAAATTATATAGTCACATAATATTGAATAAAATTGATCAGAATAATCCACATTCATTTGTTACTTTCTTTCTCATTGAATAACATTGAAAAGAAACCATTGATGGTTGGCGAGACTAACATTCAGTTTTCTGCATAAAGTAATTAGCATGAAAGCACAATCTGTTGTCGTGGGCTGTTTTACAGTTGACAGGGTATATTTCATATCAGCTTCTAATTGCGCCAACTTACGAGTCGGCACTATCTGATTTGATACTTAAAACCAAAGTATGGAGTACAAGACTGACTTGGAAGTTCAGTTTTCTCAACAGAAGTGTATATTTCATACGGCGAATGTATCACGGATTTTACAAGAAGAAAACTGAATCTATAATTAAAAGAACATTTATTTGCTGTGATAAAATAACTTTCTACCATCGTCATTCCTCTGAACTATAGGTATAGTCGTGAATGGTGTCTACTAACCCGTACATTTCGAATCTCGTACATTCATAACTGCTCTGGCGTATCAAATGTAAACAAATGACGTCATATATTAAGAAATGGACAAAGTCCGACAATTTATTTATTAAAGACATTTTTTTATGTTTAACGAGATTCATGGAAGATTGAAGTTTATAAGCAGTAAATTCGACCTTGTCTACCGACCGCTCCTTTGTGGCCGTTCGGTAAGGCACGTCAGCGTAAATGACGGTTCCGTATAGGATGCAGGTTCGAATACTGTCAAAGGACGAATATTTTCTATGAAAATTTCTCGGACATTCAGGCCGGTAAATGTTATTTAATACTGTTTATTATAAACAGAGCATTTACTTAAATACTTGTATCTATAAAAAAGAACGTTAAACATAAAAAAATGTCTTTAATAAATAAATGGTCGGACTTTGTCCATTTCTTAATATATATATATATATGCAAAACTTATCTGATTGATGTTATATTCAGCACCCCTGAAATAATTTACAATAAAAATATACTTTTAAAATATGCCATATTTATCGATAAAAGTGCTCAATATCAGAGAAGGAGGCAATATTTCTGAAGACCTAAAACTTCCAGCCAACATGCTTTATTGATTTTTGATGTCCACACTGTTTGAATCTATCTATCTATCTAGCTAGCTAGCTAGCTATACACTTTTCGGCACATAGTTCAATCGAAATGTCTTGTTTGATGACTCCAGGTAGTGAATTTCAAAATAGGCATCAGATAATTTGTTTGGAAGTATAAAATGTATTCTTTTATTGTCTTACAAAATTTTATGAACATGAAAAGTTACAAATCTGAGTCAAACTCTAGACTTATTGAGTCAAGAAAGATATTTTTTCGATGCTTAAATTTTAACAAATATTGTCAAAAAATTTTAAGAGTGTTTCCCGTCGGATGTATTGGTTTAAATCTGTCATGCACTTCACTAATGTATAAAGGAATTACAACAAACTAACGGTGATATAATCATTAAATAACAAACAACATCTTCAAAGAATAAACATTTTCTAAAAT